GATGGATGGATGGATGGATGGATGGATGGATGGATGGATGGATGGAAAACACAGATCTTCATCTCAAATTTAAGTTTTCCTCACAGGAAATATTCACACAGAGCAGCTGCAACAACATTGAAACCGTTTGACATAAATAATGAAATAAAGTCAATTTTCCAAACATTTGAGGAACTCCAGGGGGGGCGGGGGGGGGGGTCTTAGAAGTAACTCCATCTCTTCACTGTTTAAACTTTTTATTAAAAATGGTTTCCTTCAGTTTGTTCTGAAACTGAAAATTATTTTTTATTGAAAAATAAAAATGTTCTGCAGAAGTTTCTGGAGTCTGTTAAGTTTGGTGATGACCCCCCCCCCCCTCCCCCGCCTTTCAGTCAGAACCGCCTGGACACCCACGTGGTTCGTTCGAACTGAACCCTGAACCAGAAGACTCGGACTCTTTGGACCTGCCATCTTTTCGCTCGCCGACGTTCAGTTCTTCAAAAAGCGGCGCCACGACCTCAGCGTCTTCCCGGAGCAGACCCAGAACCCGGATGTGACGCCCACCATCAGGGCCATCCAGTACTTGATCATGAACACGGTGAAGCTCGGCGAGGCCGGAGTTGGGTTTCCGGCCGGACACGGGACCCGGAAGCGTCTGCACGTCTGCAGGCGCCACGTGGACTCCCAGTCCGAGCGAAACCGCTCCTCGTAGACGTTGCAGGCGATGACGGCGGCGTTAGGAACCACGTACAGAACTCCGAGCACGCCGATCCGGACCATCAGCCTCTCCAGCCTCTCCGTCTCGGTACCGTTCTGCTTCATGATGGATCGGATGTGGAACAGCGACGAGAACCCGACCAGCAGAAAGGCGGCGCCGACAAGGAGGAAGATGAGCAGCGGCGTCAGGACGAAGGCCCGGAGTGCGTCGATGCTGTAGAGTCCTACGTAGCAGACCCCGGTGAGCAGATCCCCCTCCACCTGACCCAGGACCAGGACCGTGATGGTCTTCACAGCCGGAACCACCCATGCAGCCAGGTGGAAGTTCTGCGAGTGGACCTCGATGGCCTCGTGACCCCACTTCAGCCCGGCAGACAGGAACCAGCTGAGGGCCAGGACGACCCACCACACGGCGGCGGCCATGTTGAAGTAGTACAGGATGATGAAGAGGACCGTGCAGACCTCCTGCCTGGTTCCCTGGACCACCATTCTGTATCCTTCCTGACTGAACCGGTCCACACACACCGCCCGGTCCCCCAACAGGAACCCGGCGCTGTAGACCGCCCCCACCATGAAGTGGCACCCGGACATGAAGATGAAGGGTCTCTCTGGGTACTGGAACCGCCTCGTGTCCAGCAGGTATGTGAGGATGGAGAAGAGGGTGCTGAGGCAGCACAGAACAGACCAGATACCGACCCAGACCCGGCTGAACTTCAGGTCCTCTTCAGTGAAATACATCAGTCCGCCGGGCTCGGAGGCCTCACAGGGGGCGCCGCAGTCCTCCACCCCCAGGAACCGGTAGCTCAGGTAGGGGGGTACCTGAAGCTGCAGGGGGCAGGAGACTGGTTGGCTGATCCAAATGGAGAGGGACAGAGTGGTCCGGGCCGGCTCAGACGTGGGACTATTAAAGTCGCTCATGTTCTGACCCACACAGATCTCCCTGGTCCCGTGGACTGGGAGGTTCTGGCAGCTCAGCCTCTCGGGCCACCGGAAACCGAACCGGTTCATGAGCTCCTCGCAGCCCAGCCGAGCCTGCTCACACAGAGACCTGCAGGGCGGGACGGCCCGATCCAGAACCGTGCACACCGGAGCATACATGGAGCACAGAAAGAACTGGAGCTCCGTGGAGCACCGGACCTGGACCAGCGGGTAGAACTGGTGGACCTCCAGCCCGGCGTCCTCCTGATTCGTGTGACCCAGCAGGTTGGGCATGATGGTCTGGTTGTAGGGGAGGTCCGAGCAGAGAGGGATGGAGATGGGCTGGCACAGTCCATGATCCGGGACAGAGATCCGGTTCTCATACTGGGTGGTGCCAGGCTGGAAGAAGAGCAGCAGAACGAAAATGGTCCTCCAGAACCAACAGCAGCTTCTCATCACAAAGTTCACGTAGTTCAAGCAAACAGAAAAGGCTTCCTAAAACCTGAAGGAGCTTTTTATCAGAGAAAAGTTTAATTTATTTCAAAACGATCCGGACCTGGAGACTTGAAGCTGCGTTCTGAGTCCTCCTGAAGTTCTTCCTGTCCTGGATCAGAGTTCAGACCAGAGGTTCCTGCTGCGTAAACCTCTGCGTCTGATCATGATCTGGTTTAAGCCCCTGAGCAGGACCATCCTTCAGGCAGAAACAAAGTCTCTCCTCTGATTGGTGCAAGCTGAGTAAAGGGGGCGGAGCTAAACTGTTGATGAGCCTCTGTTTACTTCAGTCAGATGACAAGAAAACAAAGTTCTACATGTTTAAACAGCATCGTGTTGTGCATTTCATTACAGAGGCTGTTATCCAAAAAATAAAAGTAAAATAAATCAGTAATTTATAAAACAACACTTACAAATCGAATAACTGAAACTTTAACTCTTTTAAAGTGTAGAACTCAAAAAAAATGTGTCAATGTGGGAATAATAAAAATTAAATAATATTTTAGGTGTGCTGCAGAAAATATCTTAACAAAAATATTAAATTCAAAATTAAACAAACTTTTTAAGACTACTTTTGAATGTTTAAAAACTAAAGAAAAAAATGCTGAATAAATAAAAACTATGATAACAAAAATCCCATATATATATATATATATATATATATATATATATATATATATTGCTATACAAACAATAATTAATAATAAAAAATAATAAAATCTATAGTATGAATTACTATTATGAATATTGTCTTTTTTTTAACATCTAAACTAAATTTCCTGCCTTTTTTTTTTCTTTGTATTTATTTATTAATTTTCTTGGTCTGGTCTTTAAATATTTTTTTAAATAATGACTTTTTTTCTTTTATTCCAGTACTTTTGTAAACACTTATTAAAATGCTTAAGACAAACAAAATAAATGTATGGAGACAACAAATAAAATAAAATAAAAAACAACCTTTAATAAAATTATTTAAAAAACAGGTTTGATAAAAACTCTGATAAAATTTAAAAAAATAATTTAACAGCCTTTAATAATGTTTCTTTGTTCACCTCAGATGAACTCATTAATCACTTTTAGTTGCATTTACCTCCTTTTTATCAAACTTTTTTACATTGAATACAAACTTTTCAGATTAATCTGAGTTTGTTAAGTGTCAACGATATAGCTGTGGATCTTGAAAATTATTGTTTAAAAACAAAAACTTAAGAAAATCTTGTTCTGTAGAATAAAATTAGCATCAGTTGGCCACTCGACCGACTCTTCGGAGCCCAAAAATCAAAGCCTGCTGTGCTTTTTGATTTATTAATGACATCACTTAATGAATGAATTTCCTCCCAGAAAAACACAAACAGAGTTAAATATGCATCAAACTTCTCGTTTCTTTCATCTCAGCGATCAATCAACCATCTTCAGTCGTGATTTTCTGTCAGTCAGGAGGATCTAAGACTTTCTGCTGGATTAATAAATATATATTTATACACCAACTGTTCAAAACAAAGGGACACGAAAACTTCTGGAACTTTTCCTTTTGTTGTTGAACACAAACAAGAAAATCTGATTCCTCTGATAAAGAACAAAGAAATGAAAACAAACAGATGAATTCACAGAAACTTTCAAAGAGCTGAAAATGTTCCACCACAAACAATTACGGATGAGTTAGCTGACAAACTTTACGAAGTTTTAAAGAACAAATCATACTAAGAACAGCTCGAACCATTTACAAAAACATCAAGTTTTTAAGTAACTTTTTATAGAAAACAACATGAAGCTATACAGAGCAACACGGTAAAATGCAGCACAGTACAATATGATGCATTATGGTATATTGCAACTAATATATACTGTATTCCTGTGGGATCAATAAAGTTCTATAATCATATATATATATATATATATATATATATATATATATATATATATATAAGAATAAGCTTTATCATCATTACACCGAAATACAACGAGAATATGTCCGTACAGTTGTACAAAAGATGGGCAAAGTGCACGTAGCTGCTGCTATATAGCGCGGCCTTCTTATCTTTTTCAGAATACAATTTTTAGATAGAAAAAGGGACAAAGTCATGAGGAGAGGGTAGTGGCATTACAAAAAAGATCTCTTCACACCTTGTCCTAACAGGACACGGTTTAAGACGTCAAAAAACTCTACCAGCAAGCACATTTATGAACACGTTACATATGCATTTGATGACGAGGCGGCCCGTGAAGCACTAACAGATAGTCCTTTGTCCTGATAAGATGATGGTCAGCCGGCACAGTTCAGATAAGCCTCCACAGAATGGGGTGGGGGGTTTGCTATAGACGAAGCTTTTCCTTAGTTTACACATTTCCCAGGAGAAATTGATAAGCCGGTCTGTTTCGAGGCCAACCAGGGAGTCAGATTCAGACAATCCACAATTCTTGATTTATTCAGGCAGACTATTTTTTCTTGTCAGCCTTGATTCTGTACTGAAACTTCCAAGGTCCAAAATGGTCAGATTACGGTGCATTCTACTGGTCCGTGCTTACGAGCCTCTTCAAGGTCATTTTCATGCTGATGAGTCCCAATGCCGCAGATGGCCTGTGATTCAAAGCACTTCCAACTTACGGTTTAGCTCGTAAATCAGCTGATTTTGAGTCCGCAAAGCACAAACCCAACTTTCACATAGGCAGCAGCCTGACGAGGGTCAT